TCTTTCTTTCCCACAATAAATAGGGCACTTTTGGTAGAAAATAGCAGAAACCCAATGAACAAGTCAAAGGAAAGAAAGAAAGAAAGAGAGAGAAGTGGGGGAAAAAGAATGGAAGGAAGGGGGAAGGAGGGTGGGAAAGGAAGAGAAGGGAAAGGAAAGGAGGAAGAGAGGAAGAAAGAAAAAGCAAAACTGTTGGGAAAATCTAGAGATTCATCTAGCTTCAGGTATGGCTAGATTCAGAGGCTCAGACAATTTCTCCAGGATTTTAACTTCTTATTTATTCTCCATGTGGCAGATAACATAGCTAATAGTTAGTCTATATTCTCATATTCCCCAGGTTATTAACTGAAGAAAAGACAATTTTCCATAATAGTCCTTGGAGGAAAGTTTGAAGAACCAATCTAGTTGGCCAAATTTGGAACATCTGCCCATCCCTACACTAATCACTGTGACTAAGAGAATAAAACTGTGCCATCCTCATGAGAGATGGGAAAAGGGAGCAAGTTTAGTTCTATTTGAACCATATAGAATGAGTTCTCTATAGGAAAGAGGGGTTCTAAACAGAAAAAAGGGAAAGTACTGATGGAGATACAATAGCTCTAATCCCCAAATTTTAATCTCTAACACAGATTTCTCTGAACCCCAGAGTTGTACCTTTCGTGGTCTACTTGACATTCCCACTTGGATCTCTCACAAGCATCTCAAAGTTATCATATCTAAATCCAGTTCTTCAAAGTTGCTCCCTCTCCCATTCTCTCATTCCTATTATTTTCCACTCAACAAATGACATCTCTGTCCCTCTAGTTGTTAGAATACCTACATTTCTCTTATTCTCATGTCTAATCCATTTATAAGTCCTGTTTCTATTTCTGACTCACTGTCTCCATCCCAGACCTAGCTCATTTATTCCCTCATATGAGCAGCTCACAGTTATTATTGCTTCCACTTCAGGTTCCCTCTAATATCCTGTCTACATGGCAACCAGAATGATCTTTTAAAAACACATTATGCTATTCTTCTGCTTAAAACTTCATAAGTGGCTTCCAAATATACTAAGAATAAAATCCAAACTCCTTGCAGAGGCCTCCAAGGACCTGAATGCTTTGGCTCTGACTATTCCTCCAGCTTCTACACTCTCCTTCTTGCTCGTTGCTCTCTACCCATATTGGCCTTCTTTTGGATTCTTTGCACCTTCTGTTCCTTCTGCCTGCCCCATGACCCTGCTCTTTTGGTTGCTTACTCCTTCTGATCCTTCAGATATCACTTAAATGTCACCTCCACAGAGAACCCTTCTTGATTATAGACTCCCAGCCATTATCCTATATTACTTTACTATACTAGTTGCCTTTTATAATTAATTTGTTCTTGTTCATTACTGTCTATCTCCCTATTCTGTGAGTCCAGGAACCCCAACTTTTTGGCCACTAGTCTTTATCCAGTGTTGTCACAGTGCCTGAAATATAGGACTCTCCTAATCAATTGTGTTGAATGAATAAATAAGTGAGAAAAATGGAAGGAGACAGGGTTTAGCGAAAGAGTCATGAAGAGATACAAAAGCCAGCATGTTTTTCTTCACACTGTTGTTTAAAACTATAACTGGAGAATTAACCAATTAACGAAAATGTTATTGGGCACCTACTTTTGCAAGTCTGCAAAGAAGACCAAAGTCTGTATAGTACATTGCCTTCCTTATTGGAGTTTATAATATGGTTTATGTATGAAAGTTTTGCATGGGAAATAATACAAACTGAAAAATTACATAATAATTTAAGAGCTAACAAGATGATCTAACAATATGACAGCTGTCCCACTGCAGAATATAATTGTCAAATATGTGACTCTAATGATGAGTATTTTAGGAGTTTAGAGGAAGGAAAGATCCTTTCAAGCTAGCAGGAAGATTCCTTGGAGAGGAAGGGAAAAAGCGATCTGTTTTGTTGGTATATTTGCCCTCTGCTGGCACATATTCCGCTGAGCGTAGCAGGAAATCTGCAGAGTTTGCCTGACCTATTTTCATGGGCGGGCCTGGAAAGGGATTCCCTAGCTGGCATCCGGTAACTACAGATCTTCCATGAGGACTTAATCTGCGTGCACTTCCCAGCCAGAGGGAACGCAGAGGCTCATGCTTGCCAAAGACAGTAACTGGGTGTACAATTAGTCAGAGCCACACGTAATATTTCAAACACGTTTTTTAATGCTGGTATTCAAACTAATGACTATAATTGGCATCTCATTTTAAGGTGAACTTTTCTTTTCCCATTTTACCATGAGCTTAGACATTATCTTGTTTTAAATGGAATAATCTCTAGTAAAATGATCTATTTTTAGGTTTGTACCATACAAAGGGAAAGATACAATTAATTTTTGTAATTTAGACTCGATATAATATTAGTGAGTTCCCAAGAGAAAAACAGAAACTTGAATTAAACTTAGGTGTCTGAAGAGGAACAGTTCCCTTAGCTCTATGAAACTCAGAAGCAGAAAAAAGGCAACCCCCCCGGAGATTATCTTTCATGAGATTTGGATTCAGGGAAAAAGATGTATTTGAGGCCTTCTTTAAGGGGTTTTCTGCTCCAGGACCTCTCTACCCCCACCAACCTGAACATCTGTCGTCAAGTGTATGAGGAACTCCGGGTTGTCAATGTCACTTAATGTACTTGAAGACAAGATCTAGAGCCAGATTCCCTGGGTTCATATGCAGAACCTCTGCTTCCTATGCCATAAGTTTACTTAAGTGTCTTGAGCCTTAACTTCTTCAAGTGTAAAATGGGACTGATGAAAATAAAGAAAATACTTTCCTCATAAGGTGGTGTTAAGTATAAACAAAGGAATCGGTCCAACGCCTACTATGTAGCATGGACTTAATACATGTAAGCTATTAATAGTGGTCACACCAATACTGTACTATACCAGAAACTATCCATTTTGGGTAGATTGTTAATATCACGTTTTACTTTGAGCAGATTCTTGATACTTTCTTATCCTCTGATATGACAGAATCCTGATCCTTTCCCATAGTGCCATTATGTACACAGTTCAAAATTCCAGGACATTTACAGAAAGTGCTGCAGACCTTAAAATCATATTTTCCCCTTGTTCCTTGGGAGATGGAAATAAAATGAACTCAGAGAAGCTTAGTGAAATCATAAGTGACACAACTCAGAATTGATCCAAACTCCTGGAATGACCATCCATGGGGCAGTCACCACTGGGTTCTCCTGGCTCCACCTAGCTTTAGATTCCCACAGATTTCTACTTGCCTTTGGCAACATGATTTGTAGATAAAACAAAACCGTATGTTATTATCTTCTTCTCTTTACTGTGTTGTTGATTCTTAATTCATTTACTTATTTATTCATTCATGGATTTAACCATGAAACATGCATTGAGGGTTTACCATGGGGAGGGCAGTGTGCCAAACACTGAAGATACAAAGGTGAATCAGACACACTGCCTGCTGTCACACAGCTCACAGTCTAGAGTGAGAAAGACAGCTGTAAACAAGTGTGATAATCACTATAACAGAATCATGTGCAAGATGATAGAGTGGCCCCAAACAAAGGAATGTTCAACTTTGTTTGAGGAGGGCAAGTCAAAGATAACTTAATTGCCACTAGAGTTTCTGGAGAAAAGCAGAATTGCCATTGAAGAAATTAGCCTGAGAAAAAAGTGTATTTTAGGAAGAGGGCAATGCATGTGCAAAGTCATAGAGTGTGAACCAGTCTAGGTGGGATTAGGAAAGAGCAGGTAATTCGGTAGATAAGACAACAGACATTGAAGTAGGGGTGGGGCAAGGGCCAATGAAGGGATCAGATTGTGGCGCTCACACTGAGGAGGACATTGGACTTGAAGCAGGAGCATAATAGACTTGTACTTTAGAGATAACACCCCGGCTGCTAACACTCGGAGGGAACAACTGTGGGGAGGAAAGATAGATGATAAAAGATAGATTAGAACCACATAAACGTGTCAGTGAGGGGCCTGCTGCAAAGGCCCAAGCACAAGTTTCGAAGGAGATGATTTTAGACCAAAGCAATGGAATTGAAACAAGGGAGGTAAATTCAGTATTTCGGAGGTAAAATCTACCTAATTGTTACTAGTTTAGAGGATTCAGGGAGAGGGAGGAATCTTGTGGGGAGGGAGGCAATATTCTCCCTCCCAGAGGATGTAGTAACTGGGGAGGAAGATTTACTGTGGAAGTGGGCCTTACGTAAACTTGCGTGGACCCACAATTTCTGACTCTTAGTCCAGGGCTTTTTTGTCTGTAAGGTAGAGTCTCAACAGTCTTTTGGGAATCAGGTCCTGGTAGGAAATCAGTGCACTGAGCATCCAAAATCCTTCAATGGTTCAGACTGGAAAAGCTGAGCAATAAAATGCTGACTAGTACAGAGTGTGGTGAAACTTATTCCCAAACTAGTACCAGTTGTGAAAGCCTACCTGCCACACAGAGATGACTAACAAGTGAGGGTATCAGAGTCATACAACAGATGTTGTTACATGCTATATCAAATGCTCGACTAATGGGATAATCACTGAAGAAACCAACAAACTGATATCCATAGTGGACTAGATGCCATATTTGAGAATAAGGCAAACTTAGGGTGGACATTCTTAAAAGTGAGGATGCTGCCTTAAAAAATAGCATGGATACTTTAATTCATTTGACAATAATCAAAATGAACATTATCAATAGTTTACAATATGCCAGACAGGTGTCAATTCTGTGATATACATTATTTCATTTAATCCTCAAAACAACTCTATGAGGCAGATATCGTTATTATCCCATTTTATAGAGGCTTAGCAAAATTGAACAATTTTGTTAAATTTGTTCAGTTCTACAAGGATTAGAACCCGGTTTAATCTTACCACTGCGAATAACCAGTTCACATGTCTGAGAATAAGCCAAAATCCCTGTCTTTGCCTCAAGCCTCTATATAAAACTAAGAGTAACATTTTTCTTAAGACTAATACTTACATTTTAAAATTTTTCTAATCAGATGTCTAGGATATTTCGACATTCTTCTGGAGGAGGTCGGTTTATCAAATCTCATGTTATCAAATTAAGGTATGTAAACTTGGTTTGCAACTTTAAACCAGTAATGTTAACAAGTATTTGATTAACACAATCACTCAGCTTCCCTGAGCAAATCTTTGTGGGAACACAAAGGTTTCATCAATCCTGAGCAGCCCAGTTTATACTACCTAGCCATTTCCCAGTCACAATAGAAAGATGTAAAGTGCTCCATGACAACAGGCAATGTCAGTTAGTAGATTTTTTAAAAAAGAAAGGGCACCGGAAGAGGAGGGATGATGCTGCTGACACGCCCCGCTCCTTGAGCTAGGGGTTAAGTAGAACTTAAGCCAGTGCCTTTTGATTGTCCTCACTTTAAGCCTACCCAACAGACTATGACTTTCTCTACAATAAGGTTTTCCTTTAATGCCATTGCATTTTTACTATTATTCCTAAAGCCTTTTTATTTTTATGCTCTGATGAAAGACAATATACATAAATTGAACATACGCTTGTTATCAGAGATTGAAATAAATTACTAGAATCCATCCTGAATATGCTTTTTATGGAATGTCCAAAAGGCTTGGTATTTACTAGAATAATATATCTTGTTTTCTACCTATTTTGATGAAAGTTTTTAAACTTTTTCTGTGGATTTCAATCAATACACACACACACACACACACACACATATTTGTAGTACTTATTTGTCTGTTTTACTTCTGATGGTGAGGTAAATGTACATATGGCTAAGGAGCCCATGCCTTTTCTTTCCCTTCACTCTTCCCCTCCCTACTTTTGTTCCTTCCTTTCTCTCCTCTCTTGCTCCCTCTCTCTTCTTTCTTTCTTTTTTCCTTCCTTCCATTCTTCCTTTTTTTTTTTTTTTTTTTTGATGAGGAAGATTGGCCCTGAGCTAACATCTGTTGCCAATCTTCCTCTTTTTACTTGAGGAAGATTCACCCCGAGCTAACACCCATGACAGTCTTCCTCTATTTCTTGTATGTGGGATGCCACCACAGCATGGCTTGATGAGCAGTGTGTAGGTCCATGCCCAGGATCCAAACCCATGAACTCTGGGCCACCAAAGTGGAGTGCACAAACTTAACCATTATGCCACTGGGCCAGCCCCTCCTCTTCCCTTTCTTCCTTCTTTCTTTCTTTATATATTTCAAATTAAATCCATTCTCGAAAGGCAACTAGAGGCTTTCTAGATGTACATATTACAGTATAAATTTATATATTTGAACATCTTATCAAACAATTTTCTAGTCATCCATTTATCAAACATATTAGCTAACCACAAAACTCCAAAATATCAATGGTTTAACACAATAAAGATTTCTTTCATTTCCATGGTACAGACCAAAGAGTCAGAGGTGGCAGAAGGGGATGTGGGTGCTGGTGGGGATTGTGGAATTGCCCACTGGATCTTCTGCATCTGGTTAGCAAATAAGAGAAGAGTGAAAGCATGGAAAATGGTGTGGGTGGTGTTCAGGGCCAGGCCTGGAAGTGGGGTACATCATTTCTATCCACATGCATTGTCCAGAATTCACTACAGAGTTTCAATAACCTGCAAGGGAGGCCAGAGAAGGAAACCTAGCTCTGCTCAGGAGGCAAAGGCAACTGGTTTTGGTGAACACGAAGCATTGTCTCTGCCACACTATTACTGAAGAATAATGACATTTGTTACAAATTTGGCTTAGAATGCATGAAAAAACAAATCATTTAAGTGCATGTAAAGCACGATTTCATGGATGACTCCTCCTCTCACAACCTCCTCTAGACTATGAGCTAAGTGAGGCAAGGGAACAATTTTTTTCAGCTAACTACCTTAGCCAGTATTTCCAGAGATAATTTAGACATCTGATATACACATTGCCATCCACTATGTTTCTTTAAATTTAATCTGAACCTTAACAATATTTTTACACATTAATACATTTTGATGTACATATTAATGTAATTTATTACATTAATTATTAATGTAATGATTAGAGAATTGGCTTTATTATTTACTCTATTTATGTGCTTTTTTGCTCTTCAGTCCAGATGAAAATGGTGTTAACATACTTATGGTGCTCATGTTTCGATACCCATCTACTGATAGTGCTGAGCGAATCAAGAAAAAAGTTGAAAGGATTTTATATCAAAGTCTGAAGACAAAACAGTTGCCTTTGACTATAAACAAACCATCATTTACACTCACATGTAAGTTCTTTTACCACCTTTGTGATTCTCTCCCTTCGCAATCTTCTTTATTTTTCATAAGAATTTACATCAATGTATTCTCTCATTTTAAGAATTCACCACTGATATACATATATCAGTGTGGAATAAAACTAAAATAAAAATTCACTTTGAGGCAAAGTTTAGTTTTATGAGTTTTTTCCATATTTGATTTGGGCTTCTGCTATGGTTTCTAAATTTTTTCCCATATATAATCATGTTAGATCATTTAAAAGGGTAGGTATTATTTTCACCATTTTAAGAAAGCTGAGACTCGGAAGATGTAAGACATCAAACTAACAAGCCTTCGGATCAGAACAAAAGCACAGGTATTCTGACTTCCAGAGGTCTTTACGGGTTAGTTCTAGGGGTTAGTTTCTACACTTTCAAAGAAACAGACATCTTTATGAAGGTTTACTCCTACAGAAAGAACCATTGACATGAACTGTGAAGAGGTTCTCTAGCTTATTTCCAAATTAAAACAATTTTTTTTAAAGTATACTTTTTGGTGAGGAAGATTGGCCCCAAGCTAACATCTGTTGCCAATCTTCCACTTTTTTTTCTCCCCAAAGCCCCAGTACATAGTTGTATATCCTCGTTGTAAGTCATTCTAGTTCTTCTGTGTGGGGTGCCTCCACAGCATGGATTGATGAGCAGTGTGCAGGTGGCACCCAGGATCCAAACCAGCAAACCAGCAAACCTTGGGCCACCGAAGCAGAGCACGCAAATTTAACCACTTGGCCGTGGGGCCAGCCCCTCAACTTAAAGCAATTTTTCATTCATCTCCTCATTTATTTCTCAGAAAACAAAATCAGGAAAGTTGTCTTCTTGTTTCCCCCCAAAAGTAGAAGTGAAGTTCCAAAAGGTCAGGAAATTGAAACTAAAATTACCTCACAGCTAGTTGGAATCTAAGCTGAGAGCATTTCTATTTTTCTATACAAATCACACACAATAGGTATTCCAGCTCTGTTCATTGCTTCTGGTTAAGTATTTCCAAGTGCAATTACTGCTGACTTAATACCAAAAAATATGGCTTCCTCTTTGGACTTCGAGTCTTTTCCCCTCTCAGCAGCCATGAATTTAAGAAACAGATTGTCTTGAGTTAATTTCTTTGTTGTTAGAAATCAGGAAAATTCTTTAAATACATTTTGAGATAGATTCCTCACATACAATCATGACAACTTCTTCATGAAGTAATTAGAAATAAGAAAGAGTATGGTATCCAATACTTAATTAATTATATTCCAAAGTAAAATATGGTATTTTCTAGCACTCTGTAAATGGCAATCTCAAACTAAATCTCATTTCTTGATAATATAATTGTCTCTAATGCATGATCCTATGTGCTAAAGTAAGGTATCCATCATAAAAGACATGTTAAAGTTGTAGAGTTTCTTATTTTAAATTTTTAAAAAATAATTGTTCAGCCTTCTTGGTTGTGTATACTGACTTTTACTATAAAAGCTGTTTTAATATCAACATAACTATATTCTATGACCATGCTCCATAACCAAAATTCCACTGCATATATTTCTTCTGCCACATTTATATCTCTCATTAAATAAAGACAAGTGAAATGTCCAGGAAACCTCTAATAGAATTTGAGACTCATGTCTCTATTTTGGGAAATTCAGTGTTCCTGAGCAAATCATCATATACTTCTCTATTTTCTTTCTTACAAATAAGCAAAACAAAGTAAACAAACACCAAACCACCAAAAATCCAATGAAACTGAACTTAAACTGAGATAAGTTTGAAAGGTAAAAGATGTCACAGAAGGGAGGCATAAAGCGGAGGAGAGACTGCAGCATGGGTGGGGTCCCTGGAATGGCTATATATGAGAGAGCTTCATGCCTCTAACGCCTGCTGCCTGAGCTGCTTCCACCGTATTCACTGTGAGGGAGAATCCTCAGTGAGAGAAGGTCATCAACTTGCATTGATTGAATTTCTACCATGGGTAGACAAGGGCCTGGATATTGGGCTGTGAGGGGGCTGTGATGCCTTCAGTTCCCTGGAGCTGCCCTTTCAACACTGGCTGCCAGACGTATGCCTAACACACGTAGGCTAGTACACCTGATACGGTGAACACCAATCGTGATGGGAACTGGAGATAGCTTCCTTGAGTTATACTAGAGCTCCCAAGAAAGTAATCAAGGTCATTTATCCTTATCATGCTTTCTTAACTTCCTAATTTCTTTTTCTGTCTTCTTAGCAAAAAATCAGAAAACAAAATGCTCTCTTTTTATTTTAAAGTGTATAAATAGAGTATATTTTATTATATGTTTTGGACCAAATCAGAGTAGAAGGTTATTTATATATTACTTGGGTATGAAGGTTATTTATATATTACTTGGGTATGAAAAATCTCATGCCCTCTTGAAATATGGATGTTTTGGATAATAAGCATCTCTTATAGTGACCATCTGAACAAAATCATGAAAACAGAAACACATTTTTCTACCAACTAATTCATGTTTTGTTTTTCTAGCTATCGACAGCAAAAAGATGAGGAATCTTCTCAACAGCCGTAAGTTCAAAGCAAAGATAATGAGTAAAAGCCACAGAAAAGTTAGAAGTAGGATTTAGGAAGTTCTTTTTTTTATTATCGAGGTTTAATTGACATAACACTGTATTAGTTTTAGGTGTAAACGTAATGATTCGATCTTTGTATATATTGCAAAATGATTACCACAATAATACCAAGCTTTTTTTTTACCTTATGTTTTTGTAAACCAAACACTTAGTCTTTTTATTTTTGTTCACTACTTTTAATATTTAAGACATTTAAATTTATAAATTTCTACCAAATACAATTTTAAGTTTTGTGACTTATGGAATGTGGCAAAAAAGAATTAGGTGGTATTCTTGATAGTACGACATATGTAACTATATTTCTAACATTCCATTTTAATATTTTCTTTAAATATGTCTCAATATTCTCTCACAATTCAAGAGAGTGTTTTAACGTGGTAACTAGTTAGGCTTTCTGCTGTTAAAATTTCTCGGTTTTCTTACATTTTTGTTGAAATATCTGGTATGTACATTTTCTGCCCTCCCCCACGTTAGTATATATTTATGGTCTTTTGTGGATAAATATATGTCCATTAAAAATGGTGTAAGGACACTAAAAAACAATAAGTATTCTCTATATGTAATATATTGCATTTAATGTTTTTCCAAATATTGTCAATACTCTATATTTGTCCTTCTCATTTATGTTTTCTGGCTTTTGGTAAATATTTGTCTTCCATTGTGTTCTATCTTTGTCTATAATACACATTTTGTTCTTGTTTATATCTTCTTGCTTGCCTTTATGCTTGCTTAGTCCATATATGAACCTTTATTTTTTAGTTATCAAACTCAAGGATAAAGCAAGAACCATGCATAACGAAGAACTTACATTTTAGATTCCTTTTGTAAACTTCAATTGATTTTCCAATCTTTGTTAAATAGCTTCTCAATTTTACTTATCGCTTAATCTTTACATACTCTATCAATATTCTTTTTCAAAACATTATGTTCCATTTTATCCTCCTAGTTACAATTATTTACCCATTACTAAAGTCTGTTGTTATACTTTTACTATTTCCCCATTCTTGGCTCTTGATTTAGATTCACCATTCTGCCTGCTAAATTGTATCTTCAAGGCACTTTTCTTTTTTCTTTTTCTTTTTAAAGAAATACATACTACTATGGATTACTTTACTATTACTTTTACATGATAATAGTAATAAGCATTATATAAAAGTTGTGTGGGCAAAAGTAGACTACCAGACAAAAAGGACATGGAGCTGAGAACGTGCCCTGCAGCCCAGACACCTGCATCTAAGGATTGGAAAGCCCTCCGTGACTCTTAAATTTCTGCTCCCCTCTAACGTAGTTCTTAATCTTTATTTGAAAGGATTCATTATCTAGTTCTAACTGAAACTTACCCCTTCTGTTATTTTGTTTTTTATGGGTATATGCCTGTATTTTTTTTATTACAGTAACTTGGTTTATAACATTATATAAATTTCAGGTGCACATCATTATATTTCGATTTCTGTGTAGATTACATCATGTTCACCACCCAAAGACTAATTACAATCCATCACTATACACATGTGCCTAATCACTCCTTTTGCCCTCCTCCCTCCCCACTTCCCCTCTGTAACCACCAATCCAATCTCTGTCTCTATGTGATTGTTTGTTGTTATTTTTATCTTCTATTTGTGAGTGAGATCATAATATATTTGACTTTCTCCCTCTGACTTATTTCGCTTAGTATAATAGCCTCAGGGTTCATCCATGTTGTCACAAATGGCCAGATTTCATCATTTTTTATGGCTGAGTAATATTCCATCATGTATATATACCACATCTTTATCCATTCGTCCCTTGATGGGCACCTAGGTTTCTTCTAAGTCTTGGCTGTTGTGAATAATGCTTCAGTGAACATAGGTGTGCATGTATCTTTACGCATTCATGTTTTCATGTTCTTCGGATAAATACCCAGCAGTGGAATAGCTCAATTGTATGGTAGTTCTATTCTTAATTTTTTGAGGACTCTCCATACTGTTTTCCATAGTGGTTGCACCAGTCTGTACTACCACCAGCAGTGTATGAGAGTTCCGTTCTCTCCATATTATCTCCAGCACTTGTTATTTCCTGTCTTGTTAATTATAGCCATTCTGTTCAAGTCACTTTTATTTTATTTATTTATTTATTTTTTGTGAGGATATTGGCCCTGAGCTAACATCTGTTGCCAATCTTCCTCTTTTTGCTTGATGAAGATTGTCACTGAGCTAACATCTGTGCCAATCTTCCTCTTTTTGCTTGATGAAGATTGTCACTGAGCTAACATCTGTGCCAATCTTCCTCTATCTTACGTGGGATGCCACTGCAGCACGGCTTGACAAGCAGTGCTAGGTCTTCCCCCGGGATCCGAACCCATGAATGCAGGACCACCAAAGCAGATCACGCAAACTTAACCACTACACCACCAGGCTGGCCCCTCAAGTCACTTTTAAACCAGAAAATTATACAAATGGTATATTTTCTGAATACTTGTATACATAAGAATCTTTTCCATTTCCTTTATCTCAATGTCTTATAATTGGATCATAAACTTTCCCAAAAAATTCTATACACATTATTCTGTTTCCTTCTAGTGTTTTTGTTATAGAGAAGTCTAAGGCTGGTGCAATTTTTATTCTTATGTCTGTTTTCTGTTTTGTTCCTGGATGAATGTAGGGAATCTTTATCCTACAACATTTTTGCCAAGAGATCTAGATATGGTTGTATTTTGTGCTGAATTTTGACTAGGACACTATGAATGTTTTCAATGTATACACCGTTTTTTTCTCATTCTGGGAAAATGTTCTTCCACTATAAATTTGATAATTGATTCTGTTCTAAGTGTTCTTTTTTTCTTCCTCAGGAACACAAATGACTTTTTGTTTGAATATCCATTTTCTGCCCTCCATATCAATCATTATTTCTAGTTTCAGTTCAAGTTACTTTCCTCCGCATTCTGAAAGATCTTATAAAATCTATAATCCTGAAAACTGCTTATCTCCGTTGTATGGTGTTACATTTTCTCTTTACTTCTTTCATGTGGATTTTATCCGTCATGACATTTCTGTGATTTCTTGATTTTTTTGTTTTTGATTTTCTTGATTTGTGATTTTTCACTCTTATCACAGTATAGGTTTTCCCTTATGGTTGGTTGTCTGCTTCTGTTTTATTAAGGTCATGCTTTCTTGCATATTGTTGCTGATACCAAGCACCTATCCTAAAATTTTTTGTAGAAAATCACTTTTAGAGATATGTCTGTCTTCTGAGTTTATATATCATCTGATTTGGGAGGCCCTAATCATGCTGTACAGTAGATGCAGGCTTCAGTTCTGTTCTTACAGGCAGAATACATGAAAATTCCACAAACTGCCTCCTTGTACCACCAGCTCCAGCACTCACTGATGTCAGTGCTCTTCCTGTCTCTATTGAAATTGCTTTTCATGAAGTGTCTTAGTTCCTTCTCGGTGCTGTAACAAAATGCCATAGATTGGGTAGCTTATAAACAGCAGAAATATATTGCTCACAGTTCTGGAGGCTGGAAGTCTGAGATCAGGGTGCCAGCATGGTCTGGTGAGGGCCCTCTTCCCACTCACAGACTTCTTGTTGTTGCTTCATGTGGTGGAACAGGGGATAGAGATCTCTCTGGAGACTCTTTTATAAGCTACTAATCTCATTCATAAGGGCTCCACCCTCATGACTTAAGCACCTTCCAAAGGCCCCATCTCCTAATACTATCACCTTTAAGAGTTAAGATTTCAACATATAAATTCTGGGAGTACACATTCAGACCATTGCATGAGGTAACTACATTTTCACAGAACTTCTCATCTTTCCTGTATCCCTAGATAGGATGGTGTGCTGGAAATTGTGGCTTCTGAACACACACATCAAGAAAACAACTGATGAGTCACAATGGGATGGTTCCAACTATAGTTTCTGCTTGGTTAGGGCCAAGGGCAGTTTAGCTTTACTTCCTGGGCTGGGAAATCACAATAGTGTTGAGCCAGAGGCTTTGTCAAACTTATTAGGGTTCTCCAAACAGTTCTAGTTTATAGGATGTAGATTGGGTTGTCCAGGAAGTTGCTTTTCGTATTTTTTAAAATCAGAATCCAAACACAGTGGATTTCTTTCTTTAAATTCCTTCTTTTATTTATTTATCTTTTATTTTTCTTTCTTTCTTTCTTTCTTTTTTTTTTGGTGAGGAAGATTGGCCCTGAGCTAACACCTGTTACCGATCTTCCTCTTTTTGCTTGAGGAAGATTGTCACTGAGCTAACATCTGTGCCAATCTTCCTCTATTTTATGTGAGATGCCTCCACAGCATGGCTTGATGAGCAGTGTGTAGGTCCGCACCTGGGATCCAAACCCCCAAACCCCAGGCCACTGAAGCAGAGTGCATATACTTAACCACTATACCACCAGGCCAGCCCCAAAAAGTTGCTTTTCAAACCAACCCACTGGTATTGCAGTTACAGAAAATTTCTACCAGAATTTGTAATGTTTTCTTATCTTTCCATAATTTTTGGTGATTTTTCTCCTTTTGTCTTTGAACAATATCATAGACACAAATTTTTCAACTGCAATATGGGGATAGTAACACCTAACATAGAGAGTTGTTATAAAAATTAGAGAAAATATATGTTACACTATGTATAGATCCTGGCTCATAGCTAGTAGATATTATTTATATTATTATTACCTTCATGCATATTTTAAGAGGAAGTTGGAGAAGAAGTATTAGGCACTACTGATATAGCACCATACTAGCTTAGAAATCCTACTTGTTCAATTTCATGGTTGCTTTAAGCTGACGCTATTTAATCGTGAGGGAATTGGGATGAATTTGTAAGTATGATTTCAGGAAACTATTTTTCACCTGTTTCTGAATAAAACTTCTTTTTGGGAAAAAAAACCCCTTATATTCTTAAAATATAAATAATTAAATGGTACATTAATAAAGTATCCTAACTTACTTTTAAGTCTTATTTAAGGTTGATTCAAAGTCTAATCAACTGAGGGTTTGTTATGAGAAAATCAAAATTTTTTTAAAAACTAGTCTTTCAAATTTTAGAAAACCATAAAAGGTCATTATTGTTTAAGACTGTAAAAGTTAGATTCATATCAAGGCAGATTCATAACCTGCATTCAGTAGCGGACTCTCTCTGAGCAGTAAGAATACAAACTTCCAGGTGGAGCCTCCTAATTTTATATGCAACTCTATCACTTACCAGCTGAATGACCTCTAGTAATTTATGTCTCTCTCCAAGGCTGAGTTTTCTTATCTGAAAAGTATCTAAAGCACTTAGCAAGGACCTATACATTTTTGATGCTCAATAAATTATTTATCTACCTATTTATCTATCCATACATGCTTTATATAGAGAGACAGAAGTTAATTCCTGGATTGCATGCCTTGAAATCTTAGTAAATATTTCTTCTGAACCTCAATAGGATCAGTAGGACCCCTATGCAATAAGCTCAGGGCCTGAGTACTACGAATGAGTTAGAGAGAAGCAGGTGCAATGGATTGTCTAAGCATCTGCACCCAATGCAAATCAGGATATGCTTTTTTTCCCTCTCCTTTTTATGAAAACAAGCTAACATACATTTCTGTGACAGGCTGTGGAATAAGGATGACATCTTCAAACATACCGTTACCAGCATCCTCTTCTACTGAAAGGATTGTCCAAGGAAGGGAAACAGCTATGGAAGGAGAGTGGCCATGGCAGGTCAGCCTCCAGCTTATAGGGGCGGGCCATCAGTGCGGAGCCAGCCTCATCAGTAACACGTGGCTGCTCACAGCAGCTCACTGCTTCCACAAGTAAGTTCACCAGGGCTGTTGTGAGTCTCCTTTTCTGAGTTATCAATTGCCATCAGTTCAGAGTTTGGGAAGAGTCAAATCTCACCAGCTTATCCTCTGCTCCGTTCCAGATGGACATTCTCTGTTCCCAAATGCATTATGCTTTTACTCTATGCCCCAGTCATATTCATCCGCTCTCCCTTCTCTCAATATCTATGATGCTTGGTTTGTATCGCTCTTGTGGTTCTTGCCATATATTCTCCTCTATTATCACGACACTAGTGTTACCTTCCCTACCATGTCACAAACTATGTTTAGTATAAAGACTGACTACTATACCTGTAACAAGTTTAAACCCTCCCGCATATTCAAGGAGAAAATTCAGCCGCTTCTGTCCTGGGTATTTTTTCAGTTAATCTATTTATCCTCCCACTATCAACATCCACCGTCACTTCATAAATAAGAAAAAAATCAAAATTATCACTCTTGAAGCTCTACCTTCCAATTGCTTTATCCAAGGACTCCTGTGGGTTTGTGTGGACCAGAGAGGTGTGTGGATGGTGAGCAAGACCTGCCATCCTGTCTCACATCCCTCACAGTATGGAATATGGTCATATACAACTTGACAGGAGCTCTCTGCTTGGGCTTTCACAGTTGTAGCTCTTAAAACTCAGCTATGTAATTCACATACGCAAACATACACAGGCACCCTGTTGCCATAGGAGATCAAGGACACACCATCTTTCCTCCCTGAGGTGTCACCATCAGGATACAGAAGGTTTTCTTTTTAAACTCTCAAAAGACAAAAGCTCTGAAAAAAGCCCTGGCCAGTGGCACTGTTCACATACGCTTTCTGAGGAAACTATCTTTGCTGCATCTAGGAAGCTCTTGACCATCCTTCTAAGGGTAACAATGGTTCCAAGATGCCCACACCTTTATTTATGGGGCAGATGTGTAATGAAAATGATCTAATGAACTTAAGGTGATTGTCTGTCACTCTCTCAAGAGAGAAGAGAAAAGGAACTCACTTATAGATATTTTCAACCCCCAAAATAACTAGCATCACGGCTTAGGTCAACTTGACTCTCACTAATTTTTTAAGGCTTTCTGACTTTTTCATGTTTACAAAGTCCTCCAGTCTTCACTCTTGTTTTGGGAAGTGTCATCCATTTTGGTTTATAACTGATCTCTGTTTATGTAAATTAAAAATGAATCCAGAAGGTCAATTTATTAATATTTTGTGAAAAAAAATAAACTATAGTGATTGAGATACACATTTCTGCAGGTGCAGTGTAGTCTTTTGTTTGCTGACAGACCTACATGGGGGTTGGCCATTGAGTTTGATCAAATAGAAATAACTGGTGAGCTTGATAAGAGAAATTGTGGTGATATGATTGAGATGGGAATGAATTCATAAGTGATTATAAGGAGAAGTATTGGATGCAGTGAGTTTAGAAGCCACTTTCAAGGAGTTTTTAAATGAATGGGAAGAGAGAAATTTGACAGTTGAGGGTGGTTGTAGACTCAAAGGAAAGATATTTTAAAATATGAGCTACATTATACATATTTTATACTGATAACAATAATCTAAAAGAGTTGGGAAAGGTGATGATCCTGGAGAGAAAGGGTTCAATTTGGGTAGTGATATAATTTCATGTAATTTCACAATGCAGTATTCTCTTGTGAAGGAAAAATACAAGATACTTTGAAGACAATATCACAATTATACAAACAGATTTTAAGTTTTTGTATTTTTTTCCTACAGAAATAGTATATTTTTAAAAATCGTGTTTAAGATAAATCTTAGTACCTTTATGTTCACGTAAAATGATCACAGTCTTTGTGAAACAGTGCAGGTGGGGAAAAAGTTCTTGACAGGATATCATGAGACCTGGGCCATCTCTCTCTGACATTAACCAGTTGGATATGTCACTCAGCTGGGCAAGCATTTAACTTCTGAATCTCAGTGCCCTTGTCCTCAAAGCCTGTTGAACTGGGCCTGTTCCAGGAGGCTTCCTTTCTGGTTGACGATGCATGAAGAGATGGGGTATTTCCGTTTTGTCTACTCAGTTTACAAGTTCCTTAAGGACTGAAGTCTTTGCATCTCCTAGAATTCTATTTTTCAAGTGAATTCCTCAGCCCTAAGATTTTTCCTTTGAATAAAATCTTTCTCTAAAGCATAAATAAATAAAACAGCTGAAAGGAGTACCCCCCACTCCCAATCTCCCAGTCACCACACCCAGTCTCTGCCTGCCCATCCCTGTGGCAGTGCAGAGTACTCGGAAAACCACTAATCTTTCAGGTTTTTCACAACACTTAAAAGTTCATGATTCACCAATACGATAATCCTGCGTGAACGAGGAAATCCCCTTTATGAATTCTCCTCTGTGAGATTTCCTTCTACGTAATTTTCTTCTACACAGGGAAGGTCAAGTTTCTGTCTATTTCTAGCCATTCTTGATGGGGTAAGTAGAAAAAGAGGAAATTGAGCTTTGGGGAAGAATAGGGAGATAAAGAGGTGATAGGACTACACAGAATTTTGCTTGCGATGTACTTTGGGGGGGGAGGGGGGGAAGCATCCGTGTGAAGGGAGAGCCTCAAAAATAGTAAGAGGCACTGATGAGGCCAGATCCAAGGCCAGTGGGAGCTTTAACAGCATGATATTGGTAGCGCTGCTTAGCCCTTGAATATCAGGGCAAGGTATGGGCCTACGGTGAAGAAACATCCTGTGTACACTTGAAGGTTTGTGAAGCAGACAAATTACCTTGTCTCAAAGATCATAGTAAGACCCATTAAACAAGAGCTGACAAATGAGTCATAAAATAAGAATAGATGGAGTATCTGATACAGAGGGAAAATGTCTCTTAAGATGCATATACCCAAAACAAATAAAAATTGGTTTCTACACATTTAATTGAAATTATAAAAGAAATAGAATCTGAAGAGTTTCTAATAAACAAGGAATTGAAAAATTAGAAGTTAATTGTATAGTCCCCATTACTATTATTAATCCAAATAAAGCATGGAAATTCCATTTAGTTCCTGTGCTATTTTTAATTTTAGAGAATATAAGATATTTTTAAGGGCTTTCATACTCTCGCTTGTATCATCAATATTTTTAACATCTTTTTCCCATAAGATCATCAACTGCAATTCTCTCACCATAGGGATTTTTTAGGAGCATAATCTCAATAGTTGGGGAGAAATACAGCCTCAATCTCACAAATCTTACCCTTTAATTTTTTCAGAAATAAAGACCCAAGTCAATGGATTGCTACTTTTGGTGTAACTATAACACCACCTGCAGTGCAACGAAGTGTGGAGAAAATTATCCTTCATGAAAATTACCACAGAGAAACAAACGAAAATGACATTGCTTTGGCTCAGCTCACTACCCGAGTTGAGTTTTCAAATGTAGTTCAGAGAGTTTGCCTCCCAGATTCATCTATAAGGCTACCACCTAAAACAAGTGTCTTTGTCACAGGATTTGGATCTGTTATAGATGATGGTGAGTAGTTCAACCTAATTTACTTAGGATAATTTGTCTTGAGACAATTATGTCTCAATAATTGTCAAAATAATAATCAAGACATATGTCTCAAATTATCCTAAGTGACAAGCTGTCTTAGGGAATCTCTCTTTAGACTTTTCGTAAAAATAATGTTGATGTTTTTAATGTGTATGGCTCTGAGCAGAACAGGGGTCTGTGGGTTAAAAAATGAAGGGAGTCAGGACCCTATCCTGGAGAAGTTCACAATTAAGTGGAGCAGTGGTGAGAAAAGGGAGAGGGTAACATAGAAGAAAAGAACAGGCTGCTGTAGATGCTATAAGAAGGGACGAATGCTATGGGAGCACAAGGGAGTAAATGATTCCAATTGTATATTTGCCAGATGTAAATACTGCTGGTTAGCATATACTTCAAACCACAATCTTAACGATAGGTTTTTCTTTTTTTTTTTTTTTGTCTAAATCCTTCTTCATTTTAATGGGCATTTACGGTGATCATAAAGTGCTTTGTGAATGTTTTGAGAATTTTCATTTTAATGAGTTAGTTGAATATGTATTTCTTTACCTCTGTCCCACCTCCTAGGGAGGTTAAAAGATATCAGTTCTAAACTTTCATAAATTGAGGACCAGAACTTAAGATTTCTAGGCACTAGTTCATTCCACTCTAAAGAGAGAGATTAATTGAATGTTTTGAAGTGGAAAATAAATGTTTAAGTTTGTATCAAGGATATCCTGAAGAAACTAGGAGACAAATGCTAATATATCTTAATCTAGCTTTTTTCTTTTGACAGAATTCTATTATATGAAATATTTCCCAAATGCTCCATGCATTTTCAACTTGAGGTTTGAGAGGTTATTATGTCTCCTTTCATCTTCTCTTCCCTTACCACTAGCTCAGGGCTACTCCTCGACAGCTTCAATCAATCAGGATCCCTAAGCTCCTTCCCTTCCCGCACTTAATTGTGCAGTATTCTCTCCTCCTAACCCCTGGCCCTGCTCTGTGAGGATGTCAAATTGCTAGATCTTGGGCATCCGTTCTGTTTCCCATGCTTTGAGACACCCCTATATAACACTCTACAGCACAGAGTAGGGCAAATAGATCTGTGCAGTTCATATCCTGGTTCCTACTTGAATAGCTTTTGGGAAATTAGTGAACTTCCCTCAGCTTCAACTTCCTTATATGGAAAAATGTGCCAATTGGACAAGATCAGTGTGATGAACCCTTTCTTCACGAAAAAAAAAAAGCATACACACATACACACGTACACACACATAAAATATTGCATGTAGTTTTAAGGATTCCAATAGCTTTTGAAGATCCACAAGTGTGATATAATATTGGGGCATGCATGTTTATGGTTCTTTGTATGTACACGTTTATGACACAGAAAATAAAGGTAGCCAATAATTAATAATAAAATAATCTTATGCTTTTGCTCCTAGGTATATACAATTTATGTGTCTTTCATGTCTTAAATAACAGTTTTATTCAAAGAACACATTTTTGTGTGTGTGTTTGTTTGTATAATAGGACCTATACAAAATAAACTTCGGCAAGCCAGAGTGGAAACCATAGGCACTGATGTGTGTAACAGAACGGATGTGTATGATGGCCTGATAACTCCGGGAATGTTATGTGCTGGATTCATGGAAGGAAAAGTAGACGCATGTAAGGTAAGTCTAAACTCAAGGTCAAAACTTTAAAAGGAAAGTTTCCACTAGCTATTTCTAAATTTGGCATATATTTCACCTGGAAAAAAAAGTGGCATCTATTTCACCAAGGACTCAGTTTATTTGTTAATGAAAATATTAAACAAAACCCAATAATTAAAAAAATAACAAAACTTATTGTATTGAGTGATTATTGTGTGCCAAGCCAAGTAGTAAGCACTTTTTATACATTATTTAATATGACAAGATTGAAGCAGTACTCTAATTATCTCTATTTTACAGATCAGGATATTAAAGCTCATTGCTCCCTATTTCTAGTTCACACAATTACTCTTATGCTTTATTGTTACTTTCTGAACAAAATTGTAAATAAAAGACAGAGAAAACTCTCCTCTGAAGACCACTTCATTCAGCTCTGTCATCTCTCATGCATCTTGTTTTCATCCCCCACCTCCTGGTCCCTCCCCTTTGTCCCTCTCATTCTTTAATGACATCAACACCTGAAACAGTTTCCTCTTCATCCCAAGCCCTGCAGTATTACCACTGACCCATTTACATGCTGGATTCTCAGTTCCTAAACCTCCTAACCTCCAGCGATCTTCACTCCTCCTCGGCCTCCTATTCCTAGGGTTACATCTTGAGCTTTGTCACACACAACTCTTCCAACTCCAAAAACACTAATTCCCCAAATCTTTCTATTTAACAACTGTCCGCTTCTTCCTGCCTGCTTTTCAACTACTCCTGCTCCCTTGGCCACACGATTTGCTACACCCCAAGCTACGAACCCTCACCCCCAATACACACAATCTACACACAAATTCTTTGTGTCCCCTCCTCTGATTTATTTTTCACTTTAGCTCTTATCACCATCCGATACACAATATATTTTATTTATTGAGTTTATTGTCTGTCTTCTCCACTAAACTAGAATGTAAATATAAGCTCCATGAAGGCACAGATTTGGGAGGTCTATTTTATTTACTACTGTATTACCAACAAATAAAATAGTGCTTGGCACAAATATTTGTTGACTGAATAAAATATCTTTCTTCAACTTCATAGACACCTGTAGACCATTGCTTCTCTATTTTCTCACATTCCGTTCATCCTTTCCCTTCTTCCATCATCTATTTGTCCAACTTAGATTTCACTATTAATCATTTTAATCGTTTTTGCTAATACCCTGAGCTCACTTGTTGCTCTCTCTCTTTCCAGAGTTTCTGTCTACAAAGGTCCAAACCTAGAAGAACTCAACTATCCAATCTCTCTCTCTGCCTGCACTCAGGAAGTCAAATCCTCCTGGAAAAAATATAATAGAACACATTGGTTCCACTAAAGGATCCAGATGACAAAATGGACTATCCTACTCTTTTTGTGTATTTGTTTCAAGTCTGTTCTCTGAATTCTCCCAACATTTTCCACTTTCCTTAACTTCTGTTTTTTTAATACCGCTTTTTATTCTTAACTGATGATTTTGTTTCCCAATTTTCAAACAAAAATACAAGTCATACGAGGGAAATGTCCCCATCTTCCCAGCACCAAGCATGCAGACTTGCCTTCATCTGGACCCATTTCATCCACCTTCAGCTTAGGTCACAGCAGAGAAGCTGCCTCTTCTCTAAGGCTGAGCCCTTCTCTGCCCATGTTCCTCTTCTTGTTGGCCTTTTGGGGAAGCTTACACTGGCAGTTATTTTGTCTATCTCTTTTCACAGTCAAAACTTCTCTTGTAACTAGCTCCTTCCTTATTCAGATCTATCAAATTAGGAAAAAAACAATAAACCAACTCTTTTCTTGACCCATAATGCCTCCAGCTAGCACCCCATTTTATCTCTTTACCATCAAATATTTGGAAAAATGTCTATACCCATTGTCTCAATTTTCTCACCTCTCACTAACGCCTCAAACCATTACAATATGGTTTCTGCCCTATCACTTCGTCAGTATAGCTCTTCCTGAGGTTTCCAATGATGCATCAGTGACCTCCAACAGATGTTTTTTGGTCCTATTCTTTTTTTTTCTTTTCCTCTTAGAAGCATTTAATAATACTTACTACTCTCTCTTTCTTGAACTGTTGCCTTTCTAGGCTTGTAATGATTTTCATTCTACTTCTCTGTCTGCTTCTTTGTCTCCTTTTCAAGCTCATTCTCTCAATCTCAGCCATTAGATTTTGATTTATTCCACACCTGTTCCTCTTTTGACTCTGAACTTTCTCCCTGGAGGCTCTAATTCTCTTCCACAGCTTCAATTATTGTCTTTTTGCAGATTACTAATAAATTTTTACTTTTAGCCCTGACCTCTTCTTTGATTTCCACCCTTACATATTCTACTTCTACTTGACAGCTCCACTTGGATATCTGAAAGTCATCTCAAATTCAAAATGTTGCACCTGATTCTGCTCTTCTTCCCCTCCCTACCTGATCTTCTTTCTATGTTTTGTATGTCTATGAGTGCCATCCTCTGTCATTCTGTTAAACAAGCAAGAAGACTAGAAGCCATTCTAACTTTCTCTCCTTATCCCTTATCTAATTGATTACCTAATCCCATGGATTTTACCTCCTTATATCTTTCTTTTGTTTCTCTCTCTCTCTCTTTCTTCCCCCTTCCCTCCCCTCCTGTCCCTCACTACCACAAACCACATTAGCCATCTAGTTTATTTTCTTACATTCACTCTTATGCTCCTACAGTGCATTAGTCAAATGAAAGCCAGGATGTTTTCTAACAAGATGTAATCTGATCATGTCAACCCCCTCCTCAAAACACTTCGGTGGCTTACCTTTAGTTTTATCTTAAGATAAAAAACAAAACGACCCACAGGGCTTTGAATGGACCAGTCTCTCCCGCCTCTATAGCCTCACCACAAACCACTTGACCCTTGCTATCTTCTCTCTAGTCCCCTCCCCACCTTTTTTTTTTTTTTTTTTACAGGCTCTTGTATATGCCAGCCTCCTTCATGCCACAGAGCACTTGTGTTCTCTCTACCTAGAATACATTTCATCCACATCTTCCTTTCATGGTTAACTCCTCTTCCTTTAGATATCAGCTCAATTACATATCATTACAGGAAACTTTCCTGACCTCCCTGACCAGTCAAATTCTCCTGTTGGATGTTACTATAGCGCTAAACACAGTTGCAATTCTGCATTTATTTGTGGGCTCATTTAATATTGTTTTTTTAACCTAAATTTCTAGTTCTGTGAGCATAGGGACTGTTTATTGTTGGTCATCATTGTATTCTCAATGTTCATCAAAATACCTGGGACGCACAGTAGGAACTCAATAAATGGTTGTTAAAAGAATAAATGAAGGAAGTGGAAGAGGCACAGAGAGGTTAAGTATCTTACCCTAGGTCACACAACCAGTAATCGATAGAGCTGGGCCTGAAACTTGGGCAGTTCAACTGCTGAGAACACACCTTTAACCTCTACATTTATATTTGTTTATTTATTTAAGCTTCCTTGTTCCAAAAGAGATTTAAGGGAGCTTATATAAAATTCAGCAAGCAAATATAAATTAGAATTAGGTGAGTAAAAGCAAAGGAGACCATGAGTAGGTCCATAAAATAGTCAAGCTAACAATATTCAGAAGAGATCATTGAAAACTTCCACCTATGCATGCACAAATACTAACCTCATATTAAATAGTTTATATATATGCTTACTAAACCATGCATAAAGTATCTAATCAAACTAGCAAAAGAAATCCAAGGATGCTGAGCCAGAAATAATGTAACCACTTTATATGAATGAGTGTAAGTCTTTCTACAAAACAATGCACTTTAAAGCTTAGCACAAAATTTTAACTCAGTTGAGAGAAACATTATATAATCTGTCTCTGGTCTAGCTGCATGTTCTCTGTACCAATTTCGCTTTTTTCTGTAGAAGAGAGATGATTGCAATGACCCTCCTACTGAATTAAATTAGAGTTAATTTTAAATGTCTTTGTTTTCTCTCCAGGGTGATTCTGGTGGACCTCTGGTTTATGACAATCGTGACATTTGGTACCTTGTCGGTATAGTAAGTTGGGGACAATCATGTGGTCTTCCCAAAAAACCTGGGGTCTATACCAGAGTGACTCAGTATCGAGACTGGATTGCCTCAAAGACTGGTATCTAGTGTGAATCGTCCATGAATTATACCCATGGCACACAAAAATAAAATTCCTACATATTGTATATTATTTATATTCATGTGGTTTGGATCAGTGCTTTTGCTGGATGTCAAGAAGTCCTTCAGACTCAGATCAATCTCAAATTATGAGATGGTCTTTGTGTACACGTGACTGAACCCTCTCTACCCTGAGAGAAGAAGACACAGCAAATGACAGGTAGCACTGACTTCTCACTCACGAGGGAAATTGTTGTGATGCTTATTAACAAGATGAACATTTATAAATGGCTTTCCCCAATGGAACACAGGGGACATCATTTTCCACAGGATATGAAGAGCTGCCAAAACCTTACCTCATATAATACCCGGAGCACTTAGATTCTTCTAGCAAAAACACGAAACAGCAGTCTTCCCTGAGGGTTCTGGGCTTCAGCATTCTAGGACTGATGATGGACATTCAAAGGCTAGAATGGAGAAGCGTGAAATTTGCAATATAACTTGATCTCTAATCTGGGTTTAGAAGTAATGATGCAGAGCATTATTATCCACCACAAGAGCTGCCATTTAAGAGAGATTGAAATGTATCTGAACTAGCTGTTAACATTGTGTTATACTGAAGCACCAGCTTCAGGATGCATGTTCTGTTGTTAATAGGCATTGCTGATTTATTCTTTAACAGCTTCTTGCCATTCATACATCAATTGGAGTTAGGCCAAAAGGAGAATAAAGAAGACTCCTGGGAGCGTTTTTCTGTGGGCTCAAGGAGGATAAAAAGACCTGATGGGACCTCGGCCAGCAGAGTTGGTTTCAAATGATTAAGAACAGGACAGACACTTTTTAGATTTTTGGTAGAATGAGCTATTCAATTATTTATTTAGAAATATCTACATCAACATATAGTAACTGGAGCTTTTGTAAGTCTTCAGCTCTCTGAGAGGTGAGATGTCTGTGAGAATGTCGGGTTGGGAGAGCTGATTTGTGTAAAGCATTTAGGACAGTGCCTAGTATATATTATGCACTGTATAAATATTTATTATAATGGAAAGGAATGCCTCTGTGAGTTTTAAGATAAATTAACTTAATTTGTCAAATAAATGAATGACTTTGGGGCTTAAAACAGCCAAAAGTTTAGTGGTGGAAAGCACAGGCTTTGAAACCAGATTACACGAGCTTGAATGTTGGCTCTGCCACATATGAGCTGTGCGTCTTTGTGCAGGTTTCTTAATATCTCTGTGCTTTAGCTGTTTCACTTCCACAATGGGAATAGAAATGGTACCCACTTCATATTATTTGTGTGAGGTTTAAATGTGTTAATACAAGTAAAGCACTTGGAAAGTGTCTGCAGACAGTAGGCTCTCAATATGGACCAGCTACTATTAATTATTATTAATGTGCTTTGCATTGAATAAAACAATATGCTTTTTAAAAACGGTCCCTTGCTTCTTTAAAATCATGTAATTGATTTCACAATACTTTACATTGTAAAAGAATTAGTTGAGTTAGATTTTCAAAATCACTTTTTATGTCTCATTAATGTATTTTGAACTCTGTCTGTTTATAGACAAGTAGTTATAGGAGGTATGGTCATCTGTGACCAGGGTTGTGACCACAGAGATGCAGCTCCTTATTCATCTCCTGGCTGCAAACGGGAGACCTCAAGTGCTAAATTTCTTGCTCTGATTTATCAGAGAAAAATCTAGCCTCTCTGTTTCTTTAATGACTAAAAGTTTTGTTAATTTACATGTTTGTGTGTTTATAGGTAATATGTGTAAACAAGATGAATATGATAAAAAGATCTCCTAATTGTTATTGTTTACATATCAATATTAGGATATAAACACAAAAGGGTCATCCAGGCACACTTTCCTCTTAAAAAGGAAATGTCACCAAATTTCTGAGTTGATGACTACTAATAAGTAAATATCAACAGGAAAAGCAGAATAAAAACTTAAAAACTTTACAATTTCTTTTATATGCAGAGAAACACCCAAAGCTTTCTGGAGAATATTCAGCATATTGACGATGTGCTTGATTGATGATAGGTCTTTTTTATATTAAAACTAAACACAACCTTTGAGAGAAACAGGAAAACATCTGTCTACAGGGAAAAACAATCGTTTTCTACTATGTAAGTTCTTTAGCATTGGATGTGTGCTTTTGTGTAACTGCATTTATATTTTCAGAAGACTGATAACTTCTCACATATAAGTGTCTGTGAAATATATATACTGATTTAAATAATTCTATGCTTAATTCAATTCAATTTCATGACGTTTTAACACAAATGAGAGGAATAAGTACAAAAGGATATAAGTAAATCTAAAAAAAGGAAGAGTCTATTTTTTAAGCAGGATTTATATGTCCTATTTCTAGTTTGCTGTCTGACCTATCGAGTGGTGTTAAAGAATCGTGCAATAGCTTTTACCTCATGTTTTCCAGCTACCCAATGGGACATTAATCTGTCTACCTCATGGCATTGTTGTGAGGCTGTCCTGTTGAATAATAAAGTTGAAAAGTCAAAGGATGTCTAAAACCTGCTCCAAAAAATGCAACGGGTATTACTGTAAACTAATCTCAGTACAGGTGGCGCTGCAAATATTAAGATTGTCAAAAAGTTTTCTTTTACAGTGTTGGCATTTTTATTTGTCAATAGTATTGCTTTGTGAATTTTGCAAATATATTGTGATTGAAAAACAAAAACAACCCTGGACTTTGCCTCCTGTGTTGTGAATGCTATAATATTCACATCTTTTCATAGGGAAAAAAACACTCTACAATTTGTCTGACTTGTTTGAAAGACAGGTCAAATCCATTAGGCTGATCTTAAACAACACAGCACATTATCCCTGTATTGGGTGCCTTGAGATCTAAGGGTTAGTTTTTAATGCTAGAACAAGACTGAACCAAAATTTTTGCAGTGCTTAACCATTGCTCAGTGAAATCTTCATGATTCAACAATAAGAACAAAAACATATTAACAAGAATTTACCCTTTTCAACTGAATAAACTTGTTACTTTGTTAATATATTTATTTGACTGAGAGGAGATGTGTGGCAGGCAATCTTCATGCAATCATGGAAATGAAAAATAAACTTGTTACAAATTATGAAATTAATGCTAGAATCATAGCTTTTAGAACCAGGAGGGACCTAAGAGGTTATATACATCAACCTCCTTTGTTGACTGCTGTGAAATCAAAGCCAAGAGAATTTCCCCGAGTTATGCAGTAGGTCATAGCCAGCGTAGGAATGGAACCCAGGAGCCATTGCATCCAGTCCAGCCTACTTTCCACCACTCTAACCTGTGTTATGCAGGCTCACTAGCCAGGAACATTGCAGTTCTAGAAGTCATTGGAATTAAATGATTGTTTCCAAACCAACATTTCTCCTTGCAAAAATGTGAGGCAAGTTAAACTCATATGGTATTCAGCAAAGTATATTATTGGACCAAACTAGCTTTACGATTAAAACAACACCACTTAAAATTATATCCACCTATACCTAATGAAATGAAGGATGATTTTAATGTAGGCAAAGCTGCAAAGCTAGTCAACTGGCAGATCAGAATACTCTGTGGAAAGTTTATTCCCCGAGTCTATACCTTATTCCATCCTTTTCTCACCCTCCACACTAAGCTCTATAATTATGAAGTAATTTAAAGCCTTCACAGGGTATACAGTAAAAACAGTGTACCATATTTTCAAATGAGGAGCAGTGAAAGATTTTGAATCCTACTAAAACAACAAATGTCTTTCTCTTTGCTCTTTTTAATGCTTCATTAAAAATGTTTTATAAACAAATAAACAAAACTACAGAAGGCCCACTAAAATGCAGCAAACTAAAAAGTTTTGTTTAAGTTGCTTTCATAAATGCTTTGAGCATTCTTTCACAGGTTTCAATATTTTCTTTGTCTGAAAGTTTTAAACATAACTAAAAAGAAATGAGAGAAACACAATCTGTCAAATGGAACATTAGTCTATCTACCTCACATGTTGTCATGAGGCTTTCTTGTTGAATAATAAAGTCTAAACATCCAAGAATGATTCAAACCTGTTTGAAAAGTGGAAACTATATTATTATAAACTGATATCTGCACAACTGATGCTGCAAATGCTCTAAGATTGTCGTTAAGCTTTTAGACAGTGTTAGCATTTTCATTTATCAATAGCATTGCTTTGTGTATTTTACAAAGACTACTGTTTTGTTGAAATTATATTTAGCATTTTATTGAAGAGAAGTATAATACAGCTTATGCAGTTAATATTAATTTATTGCAAAAAGAAAAATACCTTGGGGCTGGCCCAGTGGCACAGCCGTTAAGTTCGCAGGTTCTGCTTCTTGGCAGCCCGGGGATCGCTGGTTTGGATTCTGGGTGTGGACAGGGCACCGCTTGGCACGCCATGCTGTGGTAGGCATCCCATCTATAAAGTAGAGCAAGATGGGCACGAATGTTAGCTCAGGGCCAGTCTTCCTCAGCAAAAAGAGGAGGATTGGCAGTACTTAGCTCAGGGCTAATCTTCCTCAAAAAAAAAAAGAAAAAAGAAAAATACCAAGCAATCGAATTAATCGTCTTTCACTTGATCACTTTAAGAATGACTATAATCCATGGGCCAGCTCCAGCAGCCTAGAGGTCAAGTTCAGTGAGCTCTGCTTTGGTGGCCCAGGTTCAGTTCCTGTGTGTGGACCAACACGGCTCTGTTATTGTCCATGCTGTGCTGGTGGCACATATACTAAAAAAAAATAGAGGAAGATTGACACAGATGTTAGCTCAGGGTGAATCTTCCTCAGCAAAAAAACAAAAAAAGAATGACTATAATCCAAATTCATTTTATTTAAAGCATATTTTACTACAGTATGTTGGAGTACTCTATAATCAATCTACTGGAAACACTTTTAAAGCTATTATGTAGATGACAGTGAAAAATATTAAAAGCAGTCCAAAGTCAGCATTTAACAAAGTATATTTTAAAGACTCAGCTTAGTAATATTTTAGTCTATATTCTGAATTATTAAAGGTTCTCTAACTTGTCACAGAGCTATGCAATGCTAACCAGATATAATAGATTTCCTTTGAAGTTCTATTTTTAAACATTTCATTCCATTGTCAGAATCTGTGTCCCAACTTTTATTTAAGAATGTAGTTATGGGGGCCGACCCAGTGGTGTAGTGGTTAAGTTCTCGTGCTCCACTTTGGCAGCTCAGGGTTCACGATTTCGGATCCCTGGTGCGGACCTATGTACTCTTCATCAAGTCATGCTGTGGCGGTGTCCCACATACAAAATAGAGGAAGATGGGCACAGATATCAGCTCAGGGCCAATCTTCCTCAGCAAAAAGAGAAAGATTGGCAACCATCCTGTTAGACTTTCCTGCTCTCTCCTTCCACTCCCGAACCTAGGTATTCTCCATAAAAGATGTTCAGATGCCTCCCTTTTAAATATTCCCAGAAGGAGAAATTTCATAAATGCATATGATTGCCTTCCTAATGGTTTTAATCACTACCTACTTCTGTATTCAAAAGAAGTACCTTTTGCTGAACCTGAAACCTGTATCTTCCTGTTTAGATCTAGGTGAGATCACTGAATTCTTGGGATAATTTTTTAAATCCACTTGTGTTTGTCCTACAAGTGATAATCCTTAAGGAAAGAGCATTAGAAAATTGAATGAACAGGTAGAGGTGCCTATGAAGAACAGGAGAATTTAAAATTGGACAGGTGAAATAAAATCTGAAAGTAAAAATGAAGCCATTGGAAATACAAACATTAAGCCACAGCTATTTGATAAAATTTTCATTAAAAAAAAATAGTTGGACTATAGAATAAAAACTTTTTTTTTAAGTAAAGGAAATGATAGATTTATCCTCCTTTTTTAAAAAAAATCCACAGGAATATTATAACAAATACTTTTTGAGAGGGAGAGGGCACACAATTGTATCAACTTAGCACAACTGTTTTACTTTTTTATCTTTGTATATATGCGTACATATATTTTACAAAGTTGATATAATAGCATAAATTATGTATTTCTCCACTTGAGATTATATTATATATTTTTGAATGACCACATTTTTGGTTATAATCATCATTTTCAATGCCTACCTTTGAGTTGCTACATCAAATAGTTACGTATATAGACCTTGCCCAGAATATTAGGCTAGTCTGTTATCAAGTAAATCTTATACGAAGGTCATGAACTGTAAAGTATAGCATCCTCCCTTCCTCACTCCGTGAACCCTCTAGCACTGCACCAAATGAAGACTCCTGTGGTTACCTACGCTTTCCTCCACTTTGCTTCTTTCCCATAACGCCTGTGGTTTCTTCTCCTCTCATACTGCTCTTCGTCTTCCCCACTGGTTTAACATCTCTCTACTACCTTCTTTCTCAGCTGGTTCCAGTGAGTCCTCCCTGCTTTGTTTTATTTAAATGTCCTTATATCTTCAACTTCTTCTCAAAATGCTTCCTCATCATCTCACTAAAGGCTGGATCTTCCTTTCGAAAACATCCCTTCATTGTAGCCCTCCCAAGTGATTGCTCTTTCTCTCTGGCCCTAGTTCTGAGTCAGAATTCTTCCAACTCTGAACTAAAAGTTTCCAAATACTGTGTGGTCTCCCAATAATTACTGCTTCACACTAGTATAAAAATGTTACTTTTAGTGTATAGGCTCATGCCTCTAGAGATACCACAAACTGCTCTTCCTAATTACTGCCAGCCACTTGATCACTCCCACATTTATTGAGGTATTAGGCACCTCGCTCAAAATAGACTTCTCTACCTAATTCCTGTCTTCATTGTGGTCAATTTCAACATCCAAGTGGATGACCCACACCTAGCCTCAATTCTTTGAACTCATAAATCCAAATGACCAAGTTCTATTTCACTCCCATCATCTCCTGTCTGGACATTGGAAGAACCTCACATTGATCTTCCTTCTCCAATCTTGATGTCCTCTTGTCCATTCTACTGCACCTCTGTTTCAAATACCTCTAATTTTCCACCTCCTGCAGAAGAGATACTTAATCTACAGATAACAACTTGGTTATGAAAAAATATTATCTTTATTTTCACTTGCTTTTAACAGAAATTTACTATTTCTTTCCATTATAAAATAGCATTGGTTATGAGAAAATATTATCTTTATTTTCACTTGCTTTTAACAGAAATTTACTATTTCTTTCCATTATAAAATAGCACACACAAAAAAAGCAGTAACATAAGCTGTATCAGTGACTTTGTCATCAAAAGAAATCATAGATATTTTCATTTCATTTAGCAGTTTACATATATATTAAAAGACATTTATACTCATCAAAACTGAAATTAAGTTATTAGACTCATTGCTATATGCTGTTATTTAATATATTAATAGAGAATCCTATTTATTACTATAATGACAATTTGTGTGTGTGTGTCTGTGAGGAAGATTCATCCTGAACTAACATCCATTGCCAATTTTCCGGGTTCTTTTGCTTGAGGAAGATCAGCTCTGAGCTAACATCTGTGCCAATCATCCTCTGCTTTGTATGTGAGATGCTTCCATAGCATGACTGATGAGTGGAGCAGATCCACGCCTAGGATCCAAACCTGCAAACCTGGGCCACTGAAGCAAAGCACACGGAAATTTAACCACTTGGCCATGGGGCTGACCCCTATAATAAGAAATGTTCAGAATATTTTGATAACATATATTAGTTTCTGTATAATTCTATGTGTTCTATTTTATGCATCTAAAAACATTATTTTGAGAAAGGGTCCATAGTCTTCATCAAACAGCCAAAGATGACCGTGAACATGGTACAAAAAGAAAGTAAGAGCCCTTGCTCTATAGGGTAAAGACAAAATTCATTTTCATGATACACAAAAACTTCATGATTATCCTCTTCCTAGCTTCCACGCTATCCTCCCAACTTGGCTCCTTCTTTCTTGCCGTTCTCCATTTTAGTGTTTTTAAAAGTACTTGTAGTGCTCCAAACACACTGTGCTGTCGCAGGCACAAATGAATCCCTTTAGATAGAATCTCTTCTCTGCTCATCATTCTAGCAAGTTTGCTTTCTGAAACCAATCGACCATATGCCTAGAGTATGTGAATGCTGGATTTTCACTAAAAACTACTAATATTATTAAACATATCATTTAAAAGGTAGAAAAAATACTTTCTTTTAGTATTGTGACAGGCAGAATTCTAAAATGGTTCTCCAAGATCTTCTGCCCTAATCTCAATGTGAATGCGATGAGATATCATACCCATTATTATGTTACATTACATGGCAAAAGGAAATTTGTAGATATGACTAAGATTACTAATCAGTTTACTTTGTGTTAATCAAAAAGGAGATTTTCCAGGTGGGTCTAATACAATCCTTTAGAAGTAGAGTCCTTGAGAAGTAGAGAATTTTCTCTTCCTGTTAGCAGAAAAGTCAAAGATATTTCCAGTGTGAGAAGATGCACTGTTGGTGGCTTATCCTGAGGGGACCATGCATCAAGGAATGCATCAGGTAGCTTCTAGAAACTGAGGGCAGTCCCAGATGACAGGCAGTAAAGAAACAGGGGCCTTAGCCTTTCTGCAAGGAAGTTAATTCTGCCAACATCCTGAATGGGCTGGGAAGTGATTCTTTACTATAGCCTCCAGATAGGAACCCATCTGAACCCACACCTTGCTTTCAGCCTTTGAGTCACTAAGCAGAGAATAAAGCTGAGCTTGCCTGAACTTCTGACCTAGAGGATGAAAATAGGTAATAAGCGGCTGTTGTTTAAGTGGTTAAATTTGTAGTAATTCATTACACATTAATAGAAAATTGACAAAGATATAGGATTTTTATTTATTAGTTAATTTGACCATATGTTCATTTATTGTAAATATCATATATTCCTGTTTTGACAAAAACTTTTTTTCAAAACAAAAGAGGGATTGAAATATGAATATGAATATTGATTGTCAAATCGACTAAAAGAAAGACTCAGTAAGTATTGAATGCCAAAGGGTTTGCAGAGGTGCTGGTAAGAGCATTCATTCAAAGACATGAGAGTTGCTGACCTCGAATTTTTCACTATCTAACAGGAAAAATGAGTCTATTAACCTGAAAATAAGCCAAACTGAAACTAGATGACTACTTGAAGGGAAAGCATGAGTCAAGTGTTGTTCAGATAGCGTGAGAGCTGGGAAAACAACATCCTGAAGAAGCCACCTTAGAGTATGGGCTTTCAGAGTCCCCAGACCCTGTGTAGACAGATTCTAACCAAATTACTTGACTCTTACAGTGAGGTGGATTTTGAATTGAGAACTATACTATGAAGAAGGGAAACAATGTTTTCAGCATGTGGGGCACGGCACAGTGGGAACAAAGAGATTGCGTCCACAGAAAAGATCCCTCAAAGTCAAAGAAGGTAGATGTCACTGTAGCTACAAAGGAGAGCACATAGAGAGGAGACAATTAGCAGGTGAAACCCTTTACATTGGCAATTGGCACAAATATATTTCCATTTTCCCACCTTAAATCTGGATTCCTCTTTAGAGCAGACACAAATGAATTTCTGGGCCAGACATAATCAGGATATGTAGCATTGCCCTAAGAAAAGCAAGTCAAGGGCCAGCAAACGTTTTATGAAAACCTCTGATCTTATTCATTCTTGCATCTGAAAGAGATGAATGGCAGGACCTGAAGACCAGACTTGTACTGACTCAGAATGAAGACTGCCATCCCTTGAAAAACAAACACAAAACTTTTCCAAGTATTCAAGGGTGTTGCTTAGGTTTTGGATGCGATATTATTTCTCATGTAATTTTAATTAGCCAGAACCAGGAAATTCTTACTTCCTGCAACAAAGATTTATCAAGTGATTCTTCACCTCAGACCATACTATTGGTTAAAGTTTACCCATCCCAACTTGTTAAACTAGTTTATTTTAAATCCTTAAGCATTCTTTCTTTAGTCAGCCTACAAGTCTGAAAGAAGGCCCAGGACGCTACTCAGTTGCCGAGAAATCAGAAAGCAGCACAGAGGTGGAGGAGTTCGCATTCTCAACAGTGTATAATGTATCAGTAAGTTTAATTTTATTTTGTTTGAAAGATTTACTTTAGATTGTGGTTTCCAATTCAGGAAATTATTCTGAATTGGGAATTCAATAGCTGATTTTTTTCTCTACTGTTGTTGGAGAAAATAATAACACAGTAATGTTAATACTTTTTATTTCAGGAAACCATGCTAACAATTTTATATTGAGGATCTGAAAAGTTTAACAGGTTGGATATTAATTGGAAAGTTTAATGTGAAGTGAAATAACCCCAGACAGAGGGAGGAAAAACAGAGAGCCTGAGGTAAAATTATTTAAGTTTGTAGGATTAGAAGGATGCAGCAAGGAAGAAAGTGTTTTCTCTCCCTGAGTCCAGAGTTTAGAATATCTAGTGCTACTCAAGATCTTTCTAAATTATGCATTTAATTGATACATTGAAAATAGAGGAAATATACAAGTGGAATAGGAAGTATTATGTTTTAACATCATCTTAAAATTGATAAATACTATTAAATCTCAAAAAAAAATAAGAATTTAAATATCCTTTGAGAAATTCTTTGCCTTTTAAGATAAAAACTTAAAGAAGAATATAAAAAATTAGTACATAAGAATATAAAAAGTGAGAAGAAAATAAATAGTTCTAAGATTTTTATATTTTAATAATTTGGAAGGAAGTCTATAGAAAATAAATCTTAAATGCTTTTTAGCCCCCACTCCCCTGTCTGATCCATTCTGCATTTTTCTACATTTTGAATATTAATTCTTTCTGTACAAATATGATGTCAATTAGTACAAATTATTAAAGATAATGAGGGAATTACAAATGTCTTTTCTAATGATGTTTAACCAGAGTTTCAAGTTTGTTCAAAGGAACTCTTTGTTTCATTGGTAATAATTGGACATTGTGTATAAAACTCAATTAAACACACGCAGATTTCTAAACCACAATTCCCGCAACAGATTTAATTCTTTACAGTTGTTCAAAATGGTCCCCTTTTTACCTGCTCACCTTCCAGCCACAAATTGTTTAGGTTGTTAAAAGACAAAAGAAAATAAACAAAAAACCCAACTTTTCACAAACTTAGTGATATTATTTCTAGAACTGGCACACATTAGGATTTACTTTTTAAACGGAATGTAATGAAACAGGAAGATTATTATTAATATTATTTTTATTTTTACTTAAAAGTATCTCCATTCTGTATGGGAAAAAATGGTGATTCCAAATCCATAAAGATAGTCCAATTAATTCAATTTTTTTTGCTGTTCAATATCTGTACTAGTCACATAATTACTCAAGAACTATGTACCAATCACCATTTTTTGCATCAGAGGCATAGGGATGAATAAACATATAGTTTTAATTCAATTTCTTTTAAGGCTTACGTGAATGTCAATTCTGTATTATAGCTGGTTAAAAGCAAAAGAAATCAACCAGAACGGTAAAGAGAGAAACGAAAGTGACATAAAAGGAGAGAGAGGGGAAAAATACACTGAAATAAAAATCTGGGAAAAGCAAAAGACCTACATCTGGTCAATAGACCAAGAAACCATTTAAACTTCTCCATTTCTATTACTTTCTATTTTCAAGATTTTCAAAATTTTCCCCTCCAGGTCCGAAATCCTTAAAAATTCTATGGTCCCTTTCCCTCTTCAGATAAATCAGTATGCCTACTTTGTAGATTTTTGCTGTATTGCTTTGACTTTCCTTGGCTTTGTGGCTCAGAGGAACAGTAGGGGATGAGGGTGGTAGGAGGGGCGGGGTGGGTGGGTGTTGTTGAAAAGCTATTCCTGCTCTTCCCATTGATAACCCATGCCTCAGTGTAATTAAACCTCAGAGGGTTTTCTCCATTTGGAATACACAAATAAAACTTTATTAGTTCTTGCCACCAGTGAGTAATGTGAAGAAAACAGACTTTATTTTTTGTTGTATAAGCCAGCACCTAGTAGAATATTTGGGACGTCATATGTTAGTTGAACTGTTTAATTGTTCTTCAAATTTATTTGGGACTAACTAATTTCCAACTAACAACCTATCAGCTGCTGGTTGTTTAGGTCACCTCCATTTGACTTAACCAAATTTCATACCACTTTTAAAGACTCTTTTTAACACAGAAATATTTTGTTAACTTTTCTAGAAAGCTGCTTTGTATTTAGATATAGCGATATAAATGAGTGTAAACACATTTATAATATTTAGTCCTTGATTTCTTACCTAAAAATGAATAAATATAAAATAAATTCATTGGATTATCTCATTCCTACAATAAGGTACAGATTAATTTTACATGTCTCTGCACCTCACACAGAAATATCTCTTTTTTTAATTGAGATATAATTGACATATAACATTATATTCATCTCAGGTGTACAATATCATGATTTGATATTAGTATATATTGTAAAATGAGCACCATAATAAGTCAAGTTATCTGTCACCATACATATTTACAAATTTTTTTCTTGTGATGAGAACTTTTAAGATCTACTTTCTTAGTAACTTTCAAACATACAATATTATTAACTGTAATCACTATACTGTACATTACATCCCCACAACTTATTTATTTTATAACTGGAAGTTTGTACCTTTTAACCACCTATACCCATTTCACCCCACTTCCCACCCCCGCTACCTCTAGCAATCGCCCAGAGTCTCTTTCCATGTAGAAACACTCATCAGTGGATTTTAATTTATTTCCCACATTGATTGTTAAAGTCAAATTTGGGTTTTATAACAATAGGCATAAAAGGACGTTATCAAGTGAAAACATATAAATGTAGAAAACAGGACCTAATGACTTTAATTTGGAAACCAAACTTGTCATTTGAATGAGAGGCTTCCTCCATCTTCTGGAATAGTGCCTTGGGGTCTAGGAGTGCAGCACTGTCAATGTAGGACTAGGACTAAATAGAAAAATATGAGAAGACGGAACGTCCCTAAACTGAATAAGTGTAATTAGTATCTCTGAAGTAGCATAATTCCAAGTTTAAAAATGCAATTAAAGCTTTATCAGAACATATACACACACATTATATACATACATATTCATAAATTCATGCTTTCTTTTTTATCATATTTTTTAAGTAAGACAGCAACACAAATGTATCTGTTTTATCCATGGCTAAGTATTTTTTTACAGGAAAATGTCATGATAGATCATCCTTAATCGAAACCTCTTCTATTTTTTTATTTTTCAATCTTGGTAAAATTGATGCACATATTGTAAACAACACTCTAATAATGAACATCCCTGTGGCTAATTTTTGCACACATTCAAAACTGTTTCCTTAGAATAAATTATCATCTGCATTTTCACAATTTCTGGAATGCCATCCCATGATGGCAAACTACTCTATATCCTAAACTTTTTTTGCTGAATACTCCCTAACCCCTGGACAATTGAAAGAGAGTTCTTCCCTCAGGACACAGTATTTTTTACAGCCATTTCCAATAAGGGTTTATTATTGAAGATTTAGTCTTTGTCCTCCTCACTTTCTAATGCTACCTTGAACCATTACTCTCCACATCCTTGTGAGTTACCTTATTTCTTTGAGGCTCACATAATTCTGCTCTCTACCCTCTTTCCTTCCTCTTTGCTGTCCTTATGATTATGCCCCTCGTTTATTGAAGACTGACTCTTGCTTCCCTATCTTCTCCTCTACTCTAAGTTTTACATTTACCCTAGGTAGTATCGGTGCCCATGTTGTTGATCTCCAGCATCCTAGTCATTTATTTCCTGATCTTCTCATCTCTATAATCTTCTCTTCAAATACTGCTCTCATGTCCACACCCTAGATTTTGTCATGACTTGAAATTACTCTCTCTGAATCATAACTTTGAACAACTATCACTATCCTAACCTTGTAAGGCATCAGGGTTTTTTAATTCATTGGCTCTTCTAATCTATGAATTAGTCATATCCATCAGTTTCCACCTCCACACACACACACAAACACACACATATTCATCTTTGTTTCTCTTGTGATCCTTATGTTTGTCATTTCAACAAATTTTTAAAAAATGTCTTAAACTCCACTAAATTCTCTTGTCCCATATTTCTTTTATCATTCTAGATAAATTCTAGAGAGAATATAACTATCTGAACAATGATTCACCTCTGCCCAGACCACTGAGGAGTGCTACAGAAAATCTCACAAATGTGCAGGAGGTGCCAATTCATCTGAGCCTTCAACTCTACCCACCATTCCTACTACACCTCCTTAGTCTATACTCTCATTTCCACAATGATTATTTCCAACTCCTCCAACTTCCTCAAATTTCCACTTCTCACCACCTGCTCTCTCATGTTTCCACTACTTCTAAGAGATAATGTGATTGATCAATTAGATGAGAATTCCTTCAACTTTCTGACATGGAACCAACAAACCTACTCATACCCATTCATGCTCTTAAGAGGATGTCTACAATTTGTCCAAGTTTTCCAATCTGTTAGGTTGTTCCATATGAAAACGTCAATATATGATGACTTTTGACCTACACAAATGGCAATTTCATATGTCTGAACCTAATAGTTTAGAATCCATGATCCTTCAAGTATGCTCTCTACCCAATCTTCATCCCAGTCTCAGGATCTCTGCTGGCTCATTCACACCACTGTAAGTATACTCAAAACTGTCTCTTTCACAAGAAAAAAAAATCCTCCATCAACCCCATACACCTTGATGACTCGTCTCTCTCTTGTCATCCATAGAGAAACTCATGAAAAAAATTATTGATATCCACTGTACTTCACCTCACTTCCAATTTTTCCTCAAACCCACTATAAGTACTCTAAATTTTTGTTGTACTTGATTTCTAAACAGCATTTGAAACTGTGCATGAATCCTTCCTTGAATATCCTTTATCCTTTGTTATCATATCACGCTTATTTTTCTCCTTATTTTCTTTCCTCTGGTTTTCAGGATACTTCATTCTTTGCCCATATCTTAAATGTTAGTCTTCTTTAGGGTTCTTCTCTGAGTCTTCCTCTCTTCCTATTATTTAAATAAAAAAGATTCTTGAGC